TAACCACATATCCACAAAAATAAATGGATAGTCTTAAATTTACTATTACAGGAACAGTGACAGCCCACTGATAAATCCAGAAAGGGTAAAACAGAGCAGCAACAAATTTAGTTAAAATAATTTTCATAGTGCAACACTAATGATGAACTGTAATCCTGAGTTAGCAGCTGTCAAAATGATTCTTTTATTGTATTGTATGATTCAGCTACCAGAGAGTAAATCAAAATGTCACTGACTGAGCATGATGCTTGCAGACTCCAGCAATGCTAGTTAATTTTTACTTCTGTGAAAGGAGATGGGTCTCTGGAGAGAGATGGGTAGTTTGAGGTGGTCAGACATTGCTGATTCTAAAACCTGGTTATTTCTCTTGAATGTTTTCAGTGGATTTAACAGTTGAAACTTCATAGTTTCAAAATTATCTTATTGTTTACAGCTTATGCAGTTCTTGTTTCATTTACTTTCTATATCTGAGAGAGAATGTGGTGCTTGTGAAATGATGGAAACAGTCATAAGACAGCAGCATCTCATAAGGCACATGTCAGATTCCTTGGCTGAACCCCTGCCAATTTCAAGGGCTCTTTTGAGAGGAGACTATTAAATCTGACCCAGAAGGCTGAGTCTCACTCATACAAATGGGATCCCTACATGTACCTACATACATCTGTAGAAAAATATGCAGAATCGGTTGGGTTTACGGTATTAGTAGCTATGATCCTTTCAGAATAAAACTGTTTCAGGGTATTATTTTGTTAGTGAGATAGTATTCGCAGTTAGTTGACAAATTATTAATTAGACATTATTAGAATAAGTTTCAGCATTCTTTTTTCCATCTTGGTTCTTCAGACTCTTGGAGCTCAAAGCAGAATAGCTCTGTCCTCCTCAGTGTATGTATTTTGTCTGCCCTGTGTGAAGTAATGATTGCATTTAGTTACGTGTATACTGTATGGTTGCAGGCCAAATGTTTGGAAAATGAGAATCGTGGTGCTCTTAACAAAATAGTAGAAGGCAGTGTACGCTTAGGAAGATTGGAAGAAAAAGTTAAGGTAAGCAGTGTTTCTAAGCTAAACATTATGTGTCATGTTTCACTTTTTTAATGAGAAAAGTCAGTAGGTAATCTGTGTCAGTGTTTTTATGAAAGATTATTTTTAAAAGAGCTTTTAAAAAGCAAAATAGATCATCAGCATAGTTTTCACAAGTATCTTTTCCCATTGTATTTGTACACTGTATGTCTGCAGGTCATTGCATTTACATCATTACCTGAAGAATCATGACTAGTTGTAAAAATAATTAAAAATTACACTTAATTTGCATTTGATTTTTGTTCTGTAGTGTTGCTCAATTGTTCTCTCTCCTACTTTTCTGAGGCTGTACTAATGCTTCAACTTGAAGTCCATTACAGTTAGATGTGGCAGAATGAAAAACACCTCTCAAGTGTACAGTGATCATCAGGTACTTTCCTATGGCCATAGGGTAGGAGGTTTAGAAACTGAGAGGATGTTCAAACATCCAGCCTCATTAGAGAATATATTATGGATTTTCTGTACAACTCTCTTAAACAAATACATAGCACAGTGTGTAACTGCAGTATAACTGTGTATAGCATGAAATACATTTGAAACTTTCATGGTTTAGCATCTTTTGTACTACCATAATTGCTTTTACGGTAAATTCAAAAAAGGAAGGAGAAGGCTATCTGGTATATTGGTTTCTAGATACAGAAAGTAACACATACTACTTTCAAAAGCTGTTTTATACTAAGTCAAGATTGTGCAGTTTACCCTAAAGGAGAAAGTCTCCATACACTGCACTTTTCCAGTCAAGACCTACGCTGGTATTCCTGCATCAAATGACACAAATGTGCACCAGTGTGTTAACGGAGACCAGCTCCTTCTTACAAGCACTTGCCTTGTAAACACAGCCCAGCAATTAGGTTTAGAAACAAACCAAACTGTAGACGTAAAGAGAGAAGTAAGCTGAAAAATAGCTACAATTTGTAAGAAACCCTTCATAAAAAACCTAAATACATGAAACACTACCATAAAAGTTTTCTAATTCTACTAATAAAACTATAAAATGTTTTTTAGCCATTTTTCATCCTCATTCATGTCTATCTAAATTCAGAAAACATCTTCTCTACCAACACAGTGGCTGGTATTCTTCTTAAATACAGATTTTCTGCAATTTCATAGATCTTTGACTACTATAAGAGAGAGAAGAGAGACTTGCATAAAATTAGGAATATTTACATGTAATACATGCTGTGAATTTTAAGTGCAAAACCAAATAAAATGAAAAAATAATTCTTAACCCATCAACCATTAACAGAAATTAGAAAGAACAGCCTATAAAGAAAGTTCTTAAATATTGCTCTTTCTATTGAGCAAAAATAAGACTAATCTACTTGCAAAACTTTTTTGTTCTTAACTTTTGCCAGTAATGCAGAGGACTTAAACAGTCACAAAACACCTTAAAATATCATATACTACTTGGTTATAACTTCAGTATTAACTTTGATAAAAGCTAGCATCATTTCTTTGCTGAAAACATCTTAATTTCTTAAACACCTCCAGTCAGGTAATCCACTTTTCTAAACAGAAGCTTTATTAGTTGTTTCTCTTCAGTGATTTTTGGGAAGTTATGGGGATTCTTTTGTGTTACATATATTAAAAAAAAAATCGTAGGTCTAAATACACTGTCAGGTTTTTAGTTTGGTTCTTTTCAGTCACAAGTCTTTTTTTAATCCCAGTATGTAATGCAGTACCTCAAGCAGGACAGGCCCTATTGCATACACTGCTTTTTCAGGTGCTGCTGATAAAAATTCAGGTGAATATGAAAAGGCAAAAGGATTCTTCACTTCCAAGATCTGTTTGCCTCCACAGTTCATGCACAATTTTAACAACCATTAAACTTGAACAGCAGCTTACTTTAAGACTAAATACTTCCTACTTCTTTGAAGGAGATAGGTTGGAGGTCTCATTAGTCTGATTAACTCATTTGTGCTGTGTAACATCTTTGTTGGCAACATGGACAGTGGAATCGAGGCACCTTCAGCAAGTTTGCCAACACACCAAGCTGTGTGGTGCAGTCACACGCTGGAGGGAAGGGATGTGCCATCCAGAGGGACCTGGACAGGCACGAGAGGTGGGCCTGTGCAAACCTCATGGGGTTCAACAAGGCCAAGGCCAAGGTCCTGCACATGGGTCGGGGCAATCCCCAGCACTAACCCAGGCTGGGCGAGGAGTGGGTTGAGAGCAGCCCTGCGGAGAAGGACCTGGGGGTATGAGTGGATGGAAAACTGACTGTGAGCCAGCAACATACAGTTGCAGCCCAGAAAGCCAACCTTGTCCTGGGCTGCACCAAGAGAAGTGTGGCCAGCAGGGCGAGGGAGGGGATTCTCCCCCTCTACTCTGCTCTTGTGAGGTCCCACTTGCAGTGCTGTGTCCAGCTCTGGGTCTCCCAACAGAAGAAGGAGATGGACCTGCTAGCGCTGGTCCAGAATAGGCCATGAAGATGCTCAGGGGCTGGAGCAGCTCCCCTGTGAGGACAGGCTGAGAGAGTTGGGGGTGTTCAGCCTGGAGAAGAGAAGCTCCGGGGAGACCTTAGAGCAGCCTCCCAGTACTGAAAGGGGCTACAGGTAAAATGGTGGGGAGAACACACGACTCTATCAGGGAGTGCATGGATAAGATGAGGGGTAATGGTTATAAGCTGAAAGAGGGTATATTCCAATTAGATCTAAGGAAGAAAATCTTCCCTGTGAGGGTGGTGGACACTGGCAGAGGTTTCCCAGAGAAGCTGTGGCTGCCCCCTCCCTGGCAGGGTTCAAGGCCAGGCTGGACGGGGCTGTGAGCAACCTGGGCTGGTGGAAGGTGTCCCTGCCCAGGGCGGGGGGTGTGGGGTGTGGAGTTAGATGGCCTTTAAGATCTCTTCCAACTGAAACTACTCTATGATTAGATCAGATGGAGAAATACTATTATCAGCTGCTTTAGGAAATCACAAATTGGGTAACTGCCCTCCCTGTATGCTGAATTACAGGATAGGGTATTTAGGAGGTATTTAGCTGTAATCTGCCTCTAGTGATACTAGTACTTAAAATGCATTCATTTTTCTGTAAGGGTGATATAACTACTGGTAATGAGATGTTAATACTACTTCTTATCTTCAAAAAGGGTGTGTTGCATTGGCTTTTAGCCATCTTCAGCTCTTTCAGCAAGACACAAGATAAGAAATACAAATTATATCATATTAATTAGAGCATATGGTCCTCAGGATATGGGAAGGGAAAAGCTTCTAGCTTGCAGGTTTGAGTGAGGTACGAGTGCCTATAATGTATTCTGTGTTCTCTACTTCTTAGACATAACCAGGGATCTTAAGTTTACCTTTTGATGCATGTGTTGCCCTGTATCTCAGCAGGCACAAGCTCATCCAAAATTATATTACAGGTCAGATGCACTGTGTGTGTGTGTCAGAAGATTCCCTGGGGCTTCTTCCACATCACTGCAAATGTTATTTGAGGGGAGGAAGGCAGGCGGGACAGCCCTTCTTCACTGGAAACACACAGCACCTACCCTACTGCCAGGGCTTATTCAAAAATCTGGCAATTCCATTCCCTTTAGGTCACTTCCCTTGGAAGTCAGGTCATTTGTGCTTTGCATATAAAAGTGAATCTGGTCTTCTCATCTGGAGTTCTTCCTTTTAATGAATTATTTTGGAGAAAGTAAATGAACAAAAATCCTGTGGTTTTGGTTTTTCACTGAGAAGTCTCAATTTAAGATCTGGCAGATCTGTTAAACACAGAATCACTGTGAGAGTCTTGAAAGCTAAATACCAGGTTATTGTTAAAATAAAACCCAAAACCATGTTGATTTATATACACAGCTTTATTACATATTTTAAACTGTGCATGTTTAAGGTAGCAAATTAAAAGTGATTCTTTTTATAAATACCTAATTTTAGTTTGGGAGTTAGCAATTACTATAAAGTTTGTTTACAAAGTCATTTACTGTGCAAAAAGTTTTGTAGATTATCAGTACAACCATATGAAATTTAGAAAATAACAGTAGAGCAGTATCAAATAGGTTAAAGACAAATATTCAGAAAAAGAAAATAATTTTTGTGCAGGAACTGTGTTAAGGAAACAAAATGTATGTTGGTATTTTAATTACGAAAACAAATAGGGTTCATTTCTACTTTTATATCAGATATTTTATATTTATGTCCGATAATTTTCCAGGCATATTGAATCAAGAAAAATAACTTACATAAAAAGTGTTAGTTGGCCCATTAAGATTCAACTACAAGCTTTTTCATAACTCTTGTAACTCAAAACTCTTTTGAAAAATCTGATTGCCGGGCAGAATATTTAATGCAACTATTCCCCTTTGATATCAGAAAAGATCTGACTCAAATCTGAACTAGCTTGTAACGGGACTTTTTTTTTAACAGGTGATACACAGCATTTCTAAACTCCATCTATTTTTAAAATTAGTGACAATGTACTTGATAAAAATAGGGAGGGTTTTTTTTCTAAGCAGTAAGCACCCTTCAACTATCTGTTTTATTCACAGTTAATGAGATGGTGGTCTAAAACCATCTGTAACTTCAGGATCAGGTGATAGTAACCACCATCTTTTTAGTAAAAGAAAAACCACAGCATCATGTTGTCAATTTTGCCAGCATTCACACAAATTATTGTGCTTTAACAAAAATACATATATGTCATATATATGCACTTTTAACAGTCTGTAAAGGTTAAAGTTTGTGATTGGTTTATGGTTCAGTTAAAAATTTACCAATTGATAAAACACTGCGTATCAGCTTCATGAAGAGCAGTCACAGATTCCATCGCAGAGGCACTGGCAGAAGCCATACAAGAGACCTACAGTTAGACTGGAGGGAACAAAACTCACACACACAACACCCAGGGTCACCTTCTGAATCACTAGTAAATAGATCCCGAGAGGGAGGGAACCAAAGTAAAGAAAGCCAAGCAGCCATACCAGTATTCTGGGTACATGCTTGCACAGCTTTGAAAAGAGATCTTGGTCCAGCTGACTCTGAGAACTTTGCGATACTGACTCAGTGCCATGGTCAGCAGAATAATCCGAGGCAGTACTTTGACTGGGAGTCCTTGGCGAGTCTCTCTGTACTTCTGCAATTGTAATTACTAAGCAGTTTGACAATCCATGGGAAGAACTCAAAGTCAAGTTTTCTGGTGTTAAAACTACTTCTTTACAGTCAGAGTTCCATGCTATTTTGTCTTTTAATATGAGCTTGGACATAATGTTTGTATCATCAGGGAGCCCTTCAACTTCACCTTCATGCAACTTTGTCTCATGGCGGCAAAAGGGACAGCTAACACAGGGAGATCTGTCTCCTATATGAAGGATTTTTGTCAGACATCTAGCACAAATTCTGTGAAGACAATCCAAGATTTTGGGTTTACGACTGTGAACAGTAAATATCTGATAACAGATTTTGCATTCCAGTTCGTCATCAGGCACTTTTTCTTCTCCTTCAGTGCAAGTGTTATTCATCTTTAAATTAGGCACACTGTCAAAAAGAAGAAGTCAGATTATAACAAGTTGTTTCATGGATTCTGAATCTCTATTTCATATTAATTTTGTCAGTCATAAGGTTTTAGTAAAAATAGGTAGAAACAACCTTTATACTGAAGATACCTAGCGTCTCCAACTGTAACTCCTTGCATTTTCATGCAATTTTACCAAACAGGCTGGCCTTAATTTTTCTCCTACCATCTTGTTACATACTGCATTTAGAATAAAAAATTGTTATTGGTAAAAAGAAAGCATTAAAAGTTTGGTTTTAATGCTACCTGAACGTTGAGGAACTGTGCATTTCAGAAATGCCTGCAACTCTTGCATAACTTAATCCCTCTATTCCTGTAAACCCGTTGCACACACCAGCACATTTGAGTGAAACAAGAGCTGCTTCTTCACCATGTTCCCATCAACTTTAATCTGAATTTAGGGAAAGGTGCTTTGGAGACTGTGGGTTTATTTAAGTCTCACTGCACACATGGCTCTTCTGTCCAGAGATTATTCTACTCTGTTAGAATTTAAAGTTTTCCATTGTGGGCCCCTTGAAAATTTAAGCACTGCTGGTTTTGTAATGAAGCCAGAGAAGAAACTGCTTCCATGGTTCTGTCAGCCTTAAAGATGGACCTTAACCACATGGAGTTTGCCCCTTATTCTCACATCAAGTGAACGTGAATAAAACTCAAGGGAGATATGTAAAGTGCACTTGAGTCTCATTTTTTTCACTGAGATGTCTGAACATGCCAGAACATCCAAGAGACACTTCACTGTCTTGCTTTCTTATTCTAAGCATATGCCTGGCCTGCTAAAATGTTTTCAGTTTCAGTACATAGTTTCTTTTGGTTAGCTCTGTCAGACTGGAATAGAAAGCATTAGAATTGATTACTTTTTTTTTTTCTTCAACCCTGTTTTGGCACTATCAATCATGTTCCTTCTGGCAGGAAGGGAAGATGGCACTTACTAATTTGCATTCCATCTCTGGAGAAGACACAGCCAAGGAAACTACCTATAAAATCCATATAATCTGTATTGCATTTAAAAGTGATATACTGTCAGCAATAATTGTAAGAGTCCTTGAGACATAAAACTTTTTATGATCAAAATAGAATTATACACTTAGATCAGCTTTTGCATCATCATTATAGGTCCCTTGCAATTGAACTGTTCTATTGCATTAAATATCAAGACAGAACCAGCAAATTACTAAGCATAGAAGAGCTTTATATATATATATATAAAAAAAAAGGTAAAATATATTTCCTTTTTTCTCCCCAACAATTTCAGAATGCAAGGTCAGCACAGCAATTAACTTTATGGTGGGTTGTTTTGTTGGCTTTTTTTTGCATTCAGCATTTAGAAGACATACTTTGTTCTTAATGCCATATTCATTTTGTCATCATAATACATCCATCTAGCCATGTGATTCTGTTTGGATTGAGGCTTATTCTAAGCACTCATTCAGTACCTACCAAGAACAGGATCCACCCTTCCCAGAATTTTTCTATGACCATTTTCTAACCGTGCCTGGTCTCAATCTTGGATACAGTAATAGACCTAATGAAGCACTGCCACTAATTTCAGGAGGTTCTGGATGTCACTCATTGACATAGAACTTGAGATGAGATGATGAGGAGAGTTCTGTCTCTTGAGAAGATGCACAAATTTATTCTTTGAATCATGACCATCACAGAATAGCAGATAATTTTATTTAAACCTCTTCAATTTTATGTCTCTTATAGAGATTGTAATCATAATTGAAAAAAAGGCAGATCTCTGACTCAGAAGATTAGAATAAATAGCAGATTCACTCTTCTGCCCTAATTCTTATCATAGACAAAGGTGCTAGAGGAATAGGGGTTAAAGTAAGTCCCTCCTACATCTATTCATCCCACCCACTGTTACCATCAATATGGGTGGCTGTGTCCTTCTCCTTACATGCAAACTATGAGCAAACCCAACCAACCAAAAAAACCCACGGAACTACTTTTTCCAGAATTTTTAAATACTGGGCAGGATAACATCTGATAGAACATGCAACCGTATCTTTGTCTCAAATTACCGAGAAATGCAAGTGCCCAGGTAGTAGAGCATATAATACTGCAACACCTGTTTTCCCTTAATTCCAGGACATGTTCAAGATCTTTCAGACTTTGTGATGTTAGCTGAAGTATACAAAGAATCCCTAAGTGAGTCTTGTGAGTACAGGTTACTATGACATATACTAGGTAGCTTATTCCCCAGAGTTAACAGTGTTTGCATAGAAAACAGAAGTTATAGCCAAAATTGAAATGAAGTGCATTCATCTTACTGATAAGGAAACACCACTAGAAACAAGTATTCTTTCCTCCAAGTTTTCTTTTCACACACCTGAGATGGTCTACGTGCACAGGAGACACACACACACATGCCCCTTACTCTGGCTTCTGTCTGAAACTGCTTCAGTTTTCTTATACCTCTACGCAGTCATGACTGTGAACTTACAGGTAGATTATTTGCGTACTCCGCCACTCATACAAAAGTACTGCTACAAATCGGAGAAGAGGTGAATATCCCCATTAACTCTGGCCATGTATCTCAGCCTTTCTGAACCACTCATTGAGTAGAGCCTGTCTTTCCATCATTGCTACAAAGTCATCTGTTCCCAAGATCTCTGTAATGAATCCTGGAAACAAGGTCCTCTTAGGAGCCTAGGCAGAACGATGGCACAGTGCCTACCCCGCCAGGCTCTGTGGGGCTTGTTTTGAGCATATGGGGTAGCATCATAAACTTCTCTACTAAAAGTGCCTACCTGCTGACCTGTTGCAGTGTATTCACTTTAGAGGTATTCTCTAATGTGCTTTAGAGTTAGCAACAGATCCTGTCTCTATCACAGATTGATTTTTCCTTGCTTCATCTAAATCTCTGTGCTTAGCTTGAGTGATGTCTATGAGGATGACCAGCAGCTAGAAGACACCTTTGCTCTCCCCAGAAACCTGCTTTCAACTCTGGCATGTGGCTTTTGTCTCAGTCAGTCCTATTTAAGCAGTGGATGGGAAACAGAGGAGTGCATTATGTCTGTGTGTTCTCCAAAGAATCAGAAAAGGGAGAGCATGGTTTGCTCTTTCCCCCTCCCTCACAGTCAAAATGGACCTCTGGTTTTCCAGACACAACCTGGGCACATCACTGCAGTACAGTCATATAATGGTGACAAACCCCAAAAACTAACCAACATCCAAAGCTGCAAAACAGTTAACACCTCTTAAGACTTTTAAGAAATCCCCTGCCTATTTCCAGAGTTGAGCAAAGGCATGAGCCCTTAAACAAAGCTTATATAAATTCTTCTTTTTTTCCCTGTATGCTATTCTTCAAGGATGATTACTTCAGTTTAAGTTTTGCATGTTGGTTCCTTAAGCCTTCAAAAAAGAACAAACTGCTCAGAGGTGAAGATCCTAAAGGAAAATTTTTAAGCACAGACAGCAGTTTTATGAACTCAGAGTCTTCTTTAAAAGAAGTGCTTAGGTTCCTCCTAGAATATTTTGGGGGTTTTCAAAGCCAAATAATAAATTTAGATTAACAATTTCTGAATAAGAATGACTAGACTAAGCCCCTCTAAAGTACACTTGGTAGCCAAAATAGATAGTTTGCAGAGAAACTACAATCACCTTAACATTTTATGTAGAAAGTTCCAAATTAATAACTAACCAAAGTTATGAGTTAGATTAACACCTCAGATTTGTCACAACAAACTACAATGTCATGTTTTCTACAGCAGGATTTTGCATAATTACAATTCTTAACAGGAATGGAACTGGTTTGGGTTTTTTGTTGTGTGTTTGGGTTTTTGGTTGTGGTTAAAACGCTTCAGTTATACAATAACTACAGAAATTTGATTTGCTTGATGCTATCTATGTGCAGTCTCTAAAATAAGACATTGCATGTGCCAACTGATATATGAATTTACATTTTTGTAATGGATTATTATTTTTTCCAAAGTATTAACCTACCACATCTGAAATCTGCTGGTACCTTCTTGAGGTGGAAGAAAACGCATATATCAGAAAGTTTAGTAAGTTACTTTGATGCTAGAGGCTGAGAAGAATAGAAAGTTTCTGTTGGGCAGACTACTCATTTCACCTCCAGAGGAAAATGTTAACTGCTTCCAGCTACACGTTATCACCTGCTTCCTGAAAATCATCATCTCCACCAGCCTGTTTACTGCTCCCTGCTTCACTTCAGAGAAAACTGATAGTGGTGGCATGTTATGAAGCAATGCAATTAACAGTAAACACTCACCATTAGCACATTTAAGTACCTTTTAAAACTTCAGGCTAAATCTTCTGAACCTCTTTAGGATGAACCTGCAATTAACCAGAGCAATATTTCCTAAATGTTGCCTAAATGATGCTACAAGCCCAATATTTGAACTAATCATCTGTCATACTATTGTAGCAGTGCTCTGTTTCATGAAATTAATAAAACTAAGTCACTTGCTGTGTTGCTCAGAAAATGAAAATTTATCTTTGCCAAATCCTCCCTCAGCTCTCAAAAGCTTGCTTTTACTAGGAAAAAACCCAATTGCTTAAAAAGAACTTTCTGGCCTTCCTGGTTATAGAAATACTTAAATTTGACGAGTTCAACCTGCAAGTTCAAAAAACGGGGAAGATTAAACAAGTAAACTCAAGCCTTCTCCTGTATTTATGCAAGTTCTGTTCTATATAGGAATAGAATACTTCATCATACCCTTTTTTAGGGTAGGAGGAGAAAATTAAGATGGAAATAGGTTAAAGAAACAGATTAAGATAAGAATAGGTTGAGGAACAGAGTAAGATAAGATAAGGAAATATCCTGTATAAAGTGATTTCTGTAGTGAGCTACTAAATTTTAAGATAATTCCTTTAAATTACTTTAAATCTGTTTCACAATATTTGATTAGTTTGCAAAGTGGTTTATGTTCACTGTGCTCATGAATAAAGTAAGACTCAAGTAATATAAATTTCAATTTCCTGTTCTTGTGCTATTTTATATTCTGTCTCAAATACAAAAAAGCTCTGTTTATTTAATACTAGATAATCTTTTGTCCAAGCAGGTCATGTACATGTACAACTGTCTCATACCTTTGGACACAAAGTTCAGCATAAACAGCTTCCCCTTTTAAATTGATTTCCCAACTATCTACCTTTCATGTATGTGCCAGTATCTGTCTGCAAATAAGGAAGCTTATTTACTGTGGCACATAATACTACAGCTGAATATTTTCTTGATTTTCTTGGCTTTTGAATTTTAAAGTTTCCTCATCCTTTTCACAGAGACTGAATAGAGAAACAAACCCTTAACAGACCAGAAATCTAGTGTTTGTGAGGAAATGGTTTTTTCTATTACCACCACAATACTGTTTGACAAAATACCTTCTTTCACTAAAACTTCTGAATATATATGTTATCACTTTTCATCTGTGACAAGCCAATTTTACTGGGAAGGTTATGGGTATAAACATCACCCTTGTCTACTACTAAAAAGGGACTTCCCCCACCCCATACTACGACTTCTTACACAGCCCTGCAGATAACTGTCTATGATCTTAATTAATGTATTTCAGAAGTTTTTAGTTGCCATGGGAGACAACTGGCAATGTTCCATAGCACCCAGGAAAAATTTCATCAGGGTTCCCATTACAGGGCTGTTCTGTCAGGATCACAATTACACTTTTTATAGGGACGGGGAGACAGTTTTCTTCAGATGGTGGACTTTGATCTCTTTTGGAAGGGATGATACTAATTTTTACTGGTAAAAGGATAGCAGAAAAGCAATACGTGACTGACAGAAGATAGCTCTGTTGCCTCAACAAGGATCTTGGGTCCTGATCATTACATGTATTGTGGCCAGCAGACTACATTTGCAGAAATAATGTTTTGTTGGCTCTCTGTCCAGAATGCTTCAATTTCCAATTTGTAATTCAGTGTAAAATAATTATGGTGCCCAAGAGCATACCTTCCTGAAACTACTTTAGAAGAGTGTAAATCATGTTCTCTTCAGTACCAGCTGTTGCATACACGATCATCTTGGGTAGGCACTCAAGAGCTACAAGTAGGTAGGTACACATCTTGGGTGCCTACTCTATACCCGTGATGCCATGACCTTGGGCAGAGAACACTTTTCACCTCTAGAGGAACATATTACCACTTCCAGCTACACGTTATCACCCGCTTCCTGAAAATCATCATCTCCACCAGTTTACTGCTACCTGCTTCACTTCAGAGGAAACTGATAGGAGGTTGTCTTGAACAACTCAAAGGTTGTTCCTGCTGGGAAGGATCTGCAAATGCCAGCAGCCACGTGTGTTGGAGTGTCTGGAACCAGCCTGACCTGGCCAGGCTCCCGTGGCGAGTACGGAGGGGTCTAGGCACTCTTCACCCATCCTGGTGAAGGTCTGCCGAGGTAGCTTATGCATTGTAAGTAGATCTAGTTATAATCAGTCATAGGAGCAAGATCAGAACTACATACCCCTCATATCTAGTTTCATGTCCTAATCATTAGGTCAGAAGATGGTGCACTTTTGCTCTTTGTGCCCCATTGATTTTGTAACCATTCTGCACGTGACACAGCTTCAGTGGACAAATGAAGAGCTGGCGTGCCAAGCCAACAGAGGCAGCTACGGGATATGCGGG